AAGTTTTGAAATATAACCGATGCATTCTTTAACATCTTGAAATATTTCGATAGTATTGACGGTACGTTGCAGATGTTTGATTGGATTATGATAATCTTCGTTAGATTCATCGATTTTTGCATCAAGCCAAATTAAAAGAAAGTTTTAAATAATTGCATGTGTATCAGTACGACGACCCCGTTTCGAAATGTGATTCAAGTCAGTTTGTTGATTTAATAAAGAAGAATACGATGATGATAGTGCTACTTCTTTCATAGAATAGTGATGATTAGTGAGAGAGTTAGTTATTGTTGACTCTGCTGATGTACCGCCACCCATATGAATTGATAGATTGTACGTAATGTGAATAAATTATATATGCAATGCGTCATCAACCTGGAATCGCGAATGCATGAATGCTATTCAACGACAAAGCTGCTTTATTTAAACAGAAATTTCCTTTCACGACGACAGACGACGATTTTTTCTCTCTCGACTATCAAAATATTTTTTTCGTTGATACTTAAGGGCGTTGCCTAGCTCTTATGGAAAAGGATGGACAGAAAAGTATTGTTTCTACTGTTGCCAAATTTCTCTAGTTTATACGTTTTGATGCCCAGTCAGTGACGAAGCTTGATTGTATTGAATCAACAATTGTCTTATACAAAAATAGGCTATCATTTTCCCTTTCAACGAAACGAACAACGATAATGGTTTCATTCTCGTCTCTACTAGTTCGTTCTACATACATACAAGTAGTTACCTCGTTTATTGATCATGCAATCAATTTTACAGGCAGTATAAAAAAAACCTTATCCTCTTTTGCAATGCTGTTTCAGCAATACTGTTTCAGCACTTTTAGTATGCAGCTTCTAATTCAGCTTTTGGCAATAGATATAGCTAGAAAAATTCGCTAAGTAGGCATAATTTTATTTGGCAAATGGGCGGATGTGGGTAAAGCTGTTGTCATCTACACCCCCACCCACATCCACCCACAGCCACAAAAACTTATTTCACTGTTATCTTTTTCTTAAAAGTGCGGATGTGTTTTTGCTATTAATGCAACTCACACCCACTCCCGTGCTCAAAAACAAAATGGCGCATAGATCTAGTGACTAGCTGATCTTCTATGAATTTCGCATACTTTATCTGAAAACTTCATGTTTACACTATTGACTTATTTGTGAAGATCGGAAAATCTCTGAAGTGACATTGTTCTATATTTCCAATTTTATTCAAGGCTACAATCGACATATAGATATTATAGAATAACATAATATTGAGAAAATGGCAGCTGTATTCTATCTAGAAACACAGCAAGAAAAATAGCAGCTTTGACTTGATCTCAAACAAGGAGAGACTTACACTTTCGACTTTCGATATAATCGCGACTCTTCGTCATCACAGAGAAAAGATCGCAAACGCATACTTAGAGTGTAGATATTAATTTTCGCTTCACATACACGCACCCATGCCCACACACAATAGCTTTCGTTAACTACTATACAAGGCAATAAAGCGCAATTCTTAACAGCATCTGATTGCCAAGCTTAATCGTCGTAAATATTGTATAAGACGGATGTGACAATCCTACACAACTGTTCACAACTATGCGAATGTCTGTCAGAACTTTTCAGAGCGCGTGCTATATTATTTCAATCGTCGAAGAGTGCCACAAAAACATGCAAGACACTAATTAGTCTTTGCAAAATCCGTTGCTCAATCGAAAACAGACAGAAGCGTGCAAAGCGTCTACACTTGAATAATGCTACATAGTGTTCCAGCGGTCACTCGTACCCAAACGACTATATATAATGCACTAGAATACCGAATAGTACTCTGTCACTAAAATCGATTAGATGAACATGACTGTGTTGACAGTGTAACATCAGCTAGTGAATCATAAATTTATGCTGTATGGATGTGGATTGGGTGTTGGTATCGATTTGTATGCATTATGGTGCTTCTGTTTACTATTTAAGCAATCACACTCATACTCATAAGACTACGCTGGCATCCACCATCATGATAAAGATGTATATGATTATATTCAAAATAAATAAATATATATGAAATTAATAATTGAAATAATTCAGCGTCTTTAAATTGATATTGAAAACAAATAATTAAATTCTGAACAAGTCCATTCAGATGTTGAGTGTTTCTTCGGAAATCACCCTTAACAATACACAATTTTTTTGAAAAATGGAAAAAATTTATTGATAAACATACAAGTCACGTAGTGATACTACTTTTCTGATTTTTCTTTGACTAGAAATTCTGACTTTATTCGGATATTTTACAATCTATCTCTCAGGACTATATTTAAGTGATTATGAAACATTCTTCTATTACATTGAATCTACTTTCAAGACTGACATTGGATCAGTTGTAGAGTTTTTTCACATAGAAAACCTACAATGCTCAAATGTTATTTATCGAAACCATTCGTTTTTCTGTTTTCTTCGAAATCACTTTAAGCTTTACCATTGACAATTAATTGAGCTTTCAAACTAGCTAGCATTGTATTAAGAGTTGCTATCAGTACTTTCGTTGTAGTAATATTATCAACTCCTTTATTATTCTCGTTCCGAGCAAAATTTTGTTTTCTCTTTTTCCAACATTTAGCTACAATATATACCCTATTTTTAGATATATTGTTTCGTTCAAACCTTTACTCTTTCATTAAGGAATCTTTACCTCTAAGATTTATATTTTGTGTCTCATGCTTGATTATTTTTTTATTCTGTACACATGCAGAGCTACATCTTAATAAAAATCATTAAAAAAAAAGTTCTTATTTAGTAACTGTTCTTGTTGATGTAGTTTCTTGAAATAGAATGATTCTAAGAATTTTCAATTTATGCAGTTTTTTTTTCAAAATAAATATTCAGTTGATTTCTTACAAAAAGGTTGAAAACATTTTTTTCTCATTAGGTTTTTTGTAAGATATCCAGTATTTTCTAAAGTTATGAATCGGCTGTCGTAATTGTCTAAACAGCACATGTTTTGATTTTAGGCAATCATCATTAATCGATCATATCCATATATATGCACATTTTACATAAGATAAAAATATGAGAATAATATTAACTATATTTTTCCTCATTTTTATTATGAATGATGCATTATGGAATTTTATGTTGTTTCCTTACTGGATGTGACATCTGTCGGATTATTTTGATTGCATAGAAATAATGACCAATTATATTCGTTCCACGGTTGAAAAAATAATAGTCTCATCACCATATTATTATTCACGTATTAATCTTCAACATGGATGCTGAAGGTAGAAAAGTTATCGTATGCGATAATGGTACTGGTGTAAGTTAAAATTCATTTGAAATTTATTTTTATAAGAAAATAGATTTACTTTAGTATATAAAATGTGGTTATTGTACATCGAATTTTCCCGACTTTGTATTTCCATGTATGGTTGGACGACCATTAATTCGTTCACGTACTAAAGTGAATAATATCGAAGTTCAAGATATCATGGTTTGTGATGAAGGTAATTATACTTAAAGTTTTATTTTTGTTATTATATTTTTTGAATTCTTTTCCTAGCACAAAAAGTTCGACAAATGCTTGAAATAAATTATCCTGTTGAAAATGGTATTGTAACTAATTGGGAAGATATGAAACATATATATAGATATTTATTTGGTCCAAGAAAAATGAATATTAATCCTAAAGAAGCAAAAATTCTTTGTACGGAAGCACCACTTAATCCAATAAAAAATCGTGCTGAAATGTTACATGTTATGTTTGATGAATTTCAATTTCATGAATGTTCATTAGCTTATCAAGCTATATTAACATTATATGCACAAGGAATTTTAACTGGTGTTGTTGTTGATATTGGTGATGGTGTTACACATGTTTGTCCTGTTATTGATGGATTTTGTTTACAAAATTCAATTGCAAGACTTAATATAGCCGGAAGAGATATAACAAGATATTTAATTCGTTTATTACTTCTTCGTGGGGTAAGAAAATTAAAAAAAAAAAAGAAAACGAATTAATAAAACTAACTCAAAGATTAACTTGAATAATAAAATTCATTATTTTCAAATTATTTGAGTCTAGAGAAATAAAACTTCAACATATGTTATCAATTAATGTCTTATAAATAAATAAATAAATTTATATATTTAATTTTTCTAGTATGTATTTAATCAAACAGCTGATTTTGATACAGTTCAACAAATAAAAGAAAAACTTTGTTATGTTGCTCATGATCTTGATGAAGAACGACATTTAGCATTAGATACAACTGTTTTAGTTGAAAGTTATACATTACCTGATGGTCGTACAATAAAATTATCTGGTGAACGTTTTGAAGCACCTGAAGTTCTTTTTCGTCCATCATTATTAGGCATGGAAGTAAATGGTGTTGCTGAACTAGTTTTTAAAGTTATTAATAGTGCACCATTAGATGATCGACGTAAACTATATAAACAAATTGTACTTAGTGGTGGTACAACAATGTATCCTGGATTTGGTACACGTCTTGAAAGAGAATTAGAAAAACTTTATGAAGAACGTATTCTTAAAGGACAAACAGATAAATCAGCTAAAAATGTTATTTGTATTGAAGCACCACCACGTCGTAAAAATATGGTCTTTTTAGGTGGTGCTGTTTATGCTAATTTAGTTAAAGATACACCAACACAATGGATATCACGACGTGATTATCTTGAACATGGTATTGATCGATGTGTACAACGATTAAATCAAATATGTCCACGATAATATATTGATCTAAACAAACGGATTAGTTCATTTATCCCGTCCGCTTCTTTTGTTCTCTCTTTCTTTCTATCTAAGCTCTTTTTTTTTTCTGCTAGCTCAATTTGTTTTTTCTTTTTTTTTTTTCATATTTACTTCATTTATCTTCTTATTGGGTTTATTTTTCTAACACAAAATATTTCCTATGTGTATAACTCATGCTTTTTTTTTTTTTCTTCTTTTTGTTTTATCATTATTTAACATAAAATGGATGACTACGCTTATAGATTATGATGATTGATCGTCTTCATTGTGCGTCGATTGTATTAATTTTAACGAGTATTGCATTTCTTATTAGTGGAATTTTATTAATTACTTTCTCGGATTCACTTATTAAGAGAACAGTAAAAAAGGTATAAAAACATTTGTTTTGTTTTGAAATTTTGACTTTTTGTTTTCAAAAGGAATGTCAATTAAAACAAGGAACAATTCTTTATAAAATTTGGCGTGATAATCCTGTACCTTTATATATTTCAATCTATGTATTTGATCTTGATAATCAAGTTGAATTTCTTAATGGAGCAAAACCACATCTTATTCAACGTGGACCATTTGTTTATAGGTAAATTTAGTTATAATAATAAATCAATATAAGCTAACCGAATGTGTTAATGTTTTTTATTGATGATAATGAACAGAATCTTTGAAATCTATATTTTACGAAAATTTGTGTGCGAGAGTTAGTCTTGTTCAGAGCTTGATCATCTCAATCGAACGAATGAGTTGATTGCAAGTTATTATGAACAGGTAGTCCGCCCTTATTTGACGACATAATGAGATCAGAGATATTTTGTAAAACACGATCTAACAGAAGTATTGAAGGATAGAAGAGTGTCTTTTTTTTGTGAGTAATCGAGAATGATTATATTTCTATGATGAAATCAAAATGATTTTTTTCAATATTTTTCTTAAAGATGCGAATCGTAAACAGTTCTTAATCATCGATAAAAAAAAGAAATAGTCTATTTTGAATTTTTTTTTCTATTTCTTAAAGAGAACAACGAACAAAAGAAGATATAAGATTTTATCCTAATGGAACAATATCATATCGTGAATCACGTAATTATACATTTGATCGATCAAAATCAATTGCTGATGAAACATTTAGTATTAATACAATTAATGTTGTTTATATGGTAGATAAAATAAAAGAATATTTAATAAAACTTTGTTTTTGTTTTTTTTTTGTCTAGACATTAATTAATTATCTTCAAACATATAATGTTCCTGATTTATTTCGACAAATTATTGGAACAATATTAACTATTGTAGAAAAACCAATTATGCAACGAACAATAAAAGAATATCTCTGGGGTTATGAAGATCCAATATTAAGTATACTTAAAAATCGATTACCTCAATTAGTAATGAATGATCAAATATCAGTATTTGCTTCTGTGGTAATAAGAATTTTTTTTTTCTTTATTCTTTCATATTTTCATAATTTTAGGTTAATGAAGCACAATATGAAACAATTCTTATTAATAATGGTATTGGTTATGATAATAATCATAATGAACGTATTAATAATCTTGGTAAAATTGAACGTTTTAATTTTTCAACATCTTTATCAATATGGTCAAATAAATATGCAAATATGATCAATGGAACTGATAGTACATTATGGCATCCAGATGCAAAAAAAGATGAAACAATATATACATTTATGAATGATATATGTCGATCAGTTTATCTAAAATATAATCAAACACATAAAAATTTATTTGATATTAATACTTATCAATATATTGTATCAAATGATACATTTGCAAATATAAGTGATAATGAAGGATTTTGTTTAAATTATACAATGGGAAATCAAACACAAAAATTAAAATGTTTACCTAGTGGATTATTTTCATTAACTCCATGTTTACATTGTAAGTTTTTAATAGAAATTAATTTCGAAATCTTTCATAATCTATTTTCTGTTTTCTATATGAAATTTACTGTAGTTTACACTTTAAGACTTTTCTTAGATGAAGTACAGTTTATTGAAGATTGAGTTTGGAGATATACATTTTTTTAAAACTAGTTTTGAAGAAGTCTTGGTTTTTTACTCTCAAGTTTGTTGAATGAGAATTTAATATCCTACCTGCATTTTATTATATATTTGGTTTGAAGTAATGAAGAAACAAGTGATGATATTCATATATATACTTTGTGTAAGAAAAAAAGAATTCTTTTATTTCAAATATTATCTTATCTCTTAGTAAACTGATAACATTAATATTAAAATGAAGAGTTATTATAGAAACAAAAAAAAATTTGATAAATTTATAGATAATTATTATCTTCTGATTTTTCGATTATATAATAAAATTTAAATATTATTTATTTAGTAAGTGGTAGTTCATTATCAATACCATTACCAATAATTGCATCAAATCCACATTTTCTTGCTACGGATCGATCAGTTCAAGATGCAGTCGATGGTTTAATACCTGATGAAATGTTACATCGAAGTTATATGGATATAGAACCAACTACAGGCAGTATGTATTAAGAAATATGAATAATCATTAAAAAAAAAAAACAATATATATATATATTTTGTTTTTTCGAATAATAGTCGTGATGAATGGAACACGTCGAATGCAATTTAATATTAATGTTGTTAATGATTCAAAAATAGGGTATATTAAAATATTTATTTTGAAATAAAAAAAGAAAATTCAAATATTTATATTCTAGTCCACTTTCTCATATTCGTCCATTGGTTTATCCCATGTTTTGGGTTAATGAAGTAAGTATGAAGTAAAAAGAAAAAGGATTAAAGATGAAACTTCTACAGATAGCCTGTTAATGATTTCAATGACTTTTTTTTTACTTAGTATTTTAGTAAAGAAAAATCGTATTTTGGAATTTTGCCTTAATGTTAATCTAATTTGAATGTTTCACATATTGAAAATGCTCAAATAGGAATTTCGTCAAGTGTAAATAGGAATTGAAATTAGAAAGAAGCATCTACGAGTGGTTTTCTCGTGAATAATTATGTAAGAAAAATTGATTTCAATTTATGATTTTAGCATGGTGAAATCGATAAACCTAATGCCGATATGTTTCATAAGAAAGTATCTGTACCATTAACTGTACTGATCATTTTGAAATATATTTTTCTTGCTATTGGTATTCTTCTATTCATAACAGTAATTAGTTTACTTGTTTATAGTCGATACAAAGTATGTTATTTTTTATTTCATCATTATTATTATTATGATGGTTTTTTTTTGTCTCTTTCTATAGAACAATCAAACGGATGTTGTTATTGTTGCTGTTGAACCGACAACAACTACTGATGAAACAACACCATTACTTGCATAAAAAAAAAACATTATGAACATTAAATGTCGAGAAATTTCTATATTCCAGCTGTCTTTCGCACGTAAATTATTCGCATTTTTCTCTTTCTTTCTTTCAATTTCTCTTGTAAATAGATCTTTTCTCATCATAAAGTTTAAGTTTATCTTTCTCTATTTATCTTTTCCTTTTTTTTTATTTGATTCTTCTGCAATAAAAGATTAACTATGAATTTATGGTCGACATACTCAGACTTCAAGAAGAAAAAGAATGTAGATATGATTGTATTATATAAAAAATTCTTACAATAATCTCGCTAAAGTCTATAATGAAACTAAATACTATTCGAAAATACTTGTTTTTGTATGAAAATTCTATTAATTATTTCAAAACATTCAATACATACGAATTAATTTACTCTGCAACACTGATGAACGAAATTGAAAATAGATCTTTCGAAAGAGGTCTTTAGAAATGTTCTTCGTCGAAGAAATACGTATATATGTGATACTTATTTCGAAGATGTAAGATACTTTTGTTGTTTATTGGTATTCTGCTACTATCACAACCAAAATCATGTACACAAATAGAATATCTACATCATCCATATTAAGTATGGCTAGAGAATATCAGTTTTTCGAGCAAAACTTCGCAGTTCCTATTAAATTTGTCTTGGTCACACGCTGTATATGTATACTCTGCCATCATGATCACTATGAGTTCTATTATAGGTACTTTGTTTGAGAACAAATATTTGAACATCATTACTAATTTTCAAAATCATATTTCTTCTGTTTCTACACGTAATGATATGTTTAGAATATGATTAGAATCAAGCAATAAATAATTGAATAAGTGGAGCAAAAGTTATCATAGACTTGACATTTCCAGATGCATCGTTTAGAGAAATATGTGGGTTACAAAAGCCAAAAATTTCCTTCTCCCGACTTCATTTTTTGAGCTGCTATTATTTTTATGACAAAAGCAAAATACTGGAAGCAGTGTCAAAAAGATGTTTTTTACTTTGACCAAAGTACTTATTAAAAAATGTGAGTCCAATCAGACATACCGTATGAGAGAAATGGAAGAAATTTCTTCAACTAAAATGATCGAAAATTGGTTAGAAGTAATTATCAACAGTAGCATTATGAAATGTATGCAGATGTGTTAATATTTAATCTCATAAGTAAAAAAAAAACATTAGTCCTAATGAATAGCATATGTCAGATACTGTTACAAACGCCTTCACTATACCGCTTCTCTCCGCCATAAACATTGGGCTCATATATCGACATACTTCTGTAGCATAAAAATGTTGTTGTATAAAAGATATTCGTTGAGTATATATCGAGATTTGACATAATGATTGAAATTCAGTAGTTTTATTGCGAAAATAGTTTTCGTAGCTCCGTCCCATCCTAAAATTTTTGAATACGTCGATATTTTAGAAGCCACAGCGCATTTTTATTGGGACAAACGTGTTTACACTTTTTTTCGTACAATCTTAACGACGACCTTATCATAATCAAATTATAAGTAGCGGTTACTTCTAGAGTATAACATATACAATCAATTTCGAAATCAACCCAACGGACTCTAATTTTTATTTGAAATACTCTAATAAATAAAGCTGATCATAACTTGCTTAAAGCACATTGTATTTGATTTTGTCATCGTATACTCATACAAAAAGAAAAAGTGTATATATAACATAAATTAATTCTGTTCACAAAACAAATTCTTCAATTTCTTCAACAACTGTCCTATTAGGCACTGGTTTTGATGGATTTGTTACTACTTTTGGTCTTTGTAATTTATCATTTTGTAATGGATATTGTTTTGAATTTGGTTTAATTGTTGTTGAAATATTAGTTGCAGATGGTGATTCACCAAAAGGTGAATCAAATGGATCAGATTTATCAGTTGTTGTCGTAAAAGTATCATCACGACCAGTTACATGATTTGTTGATTTAGTACTTTTATTATTAAATAAAGACTCAAATGGATCAATAGATGTTCTTGTTTTCGTTGTTGTTGGTTGAGCAGTGACTGGTACACCATCATGTAGATTAATAACAGCTTTATTAAAATCATATACATTCGTTGTTGTTAGACGTGTAGGTGGTTTTTTTAGATGACCATTTGTTGATGATGAAGTAGGTTCAAACATAATTAATGATGCTGGTTGAGAAGATGGTGGTGACAATTGTGTAGTTGTTGTTGATTTTTTTTCTTGTTCTTCATCAGATAATAATTTTGATAGAAGATCTTCTTTCGTTGATTCTTCTTTTTTATTAATATCAATTAAATTTGTCCATTTATCATCAAGTTGACGTTTTACTGGTGGTTTTACTAATGGTAATGGTTCAGTACGTTTCAATAGATTTGATGTTGTTGTGGTACTTTCATTAGTTCCTAATGAACTAAATTTTGATTCAAATGGTGGTGACAAAGGTGTAAGTGAACGTTTATGAATTGGACTTTGAGATAAATGTTGTTCGCGTCGTTGCATACCTTTCGTTGGTGCTGATGGAGGTTTTAGATGTATGAAATCACTAATAGTTTCATCGTCTAATTCACTTTTATCTTCATCAATACTGTTTGGTGTTGATAAACGACGAACTTGACGTTTATCTTTTGTTAATAGATGTTCTAAAATAAAATTTTTTATTGAATATTTAAAGACGAATTTTTGATTCTTGAATTCAAAAACCCTCATATTAATGATATTAAATTGAAATAATTTTTTAATTTAAATTAGAAAATTCATTTAATTTTTATTATGATAAATTTTGTAAACAGAAAACAAAAGATCAACAAAGACAACAGTAATAACAATCAAAGATCATAAAATGTGATCTATGGAAACAGGTTTTGCACAATGTGCAGATAATTCTAGATATATATATAAAGTTAGATTTGATATAGTTGTGCTATGAACTACAATCATACTCTTTTTTAATTCACTATCAGATATCAACGTTCATTTTGTTAACAATGACGATATTCGCTGTAAATCATATTCTTATTTTTATACGACAAGATTTCTCAACTAGAAATGTTCAAAATTACAAGAGAAAGAGTAAAGCTCATAGAGAGTCACATCCAGAAAGAAAACAGTGAACTTCAAGTCCAAAATCTCTATTGTTTATCTCCTCTTCGAGTTCATATTCCAGATATTTGAAAAGTATTAGACTTTGACTAAAAAAGCAATCAATGCAATTCCTGTAAGATTAAAATATGAAATATAATTTAACTATTGTTGCTAATCATAGGCAGATTGTTTTACTCGATCTATTTTGGCACACATTTCTTCTTCAGAAATGTAAGAGGGAAGTCGTTTATATATATATATTAACGAGATACTATTGATTTACGATTGTTGATCGTATATCAACAATATATGCCACAGTCTGTGACCAGATTTAGATTTCGTTGAAATTAGAAGTACAATTTGAATCGGACGGGCTTTATGTTCAGGAAATTTCTTATTTCTTATACTCGTTCTGTATTTCAATATTAAAGAGATTAGCTTACAGTGACTTTCATTCACATATTAACTACTCAAAAAATAATATCCTATTGAATATTATTAAGTGATAAAATAGTGATCCTCTCGTGTTCAAGAAAGCAGGTTTGTTTGTTTGGTGATTTTAAAATAGTGTTTTGTAATTTAGTTTGATAAATATTTAAATAAAATACTACCATTTTCAATTGTTGATGATTTTTCATCATGTTTTATATGTGATAATATTGATGAAGATTTATTTGTTTGTAATTTTTGTTCTAATTTAGGTATATATTTTTTTCGTTCATGTTTTAATGGTGGATTATTATTAGGTAATATTAATGGTTTAAGTTTTGGTTTAAGTTTTTGTTGTTGTTCACGACGTTTTTTATCATATTCAAGAATTTTTTCTCTAAAACGTGGTGATGTATCTTGAAGTGATTGTAATGAATATGATTTAATTAATTTTGATGATGAATGTGATGGTCGTCGTCCACCACGTTGTATATAAATATGCATTGTATCAATTTGTCGTGTTTTATCTTCACATTTTAATAATAGATCATTATATTTTATTGAATGATTATCAATTTCATGTTTAAGATTACGTTGTTTAATTAATTCATGATTTATTTCATGACGATAATTTTTTTCAAGATTTTCAATTTCTTTTTCCTAAATAATAGAAAACATAATCATTATTATTATATACAAATTATTGATTTACTTTATTAGAAATTATTTCTTGATATTTTTTTAATTTTTTATTAGCTTCATTTAATTGTTCACGTAATTGTTCAGTTTCATTAAGATTTGTTTCATTTATTAATAATTTTTTAAAAAATCTCATACGTTTTGTTTGATTTTGTAATATATGATCATGTTGTTCAATTTCTTGTTCAAGTTTTAATTTTATTTCACGTTCATTATTTATTTTATCTTTAACATCTTCAATTTCTTGTGTAAAATCTTGTGCAATTAAACGAATATCTTCAAGTTGATTTGTATATTTTTTTAAATCTTTTTCTTCACGTTTTTGTATTAATAATAATGTTTGATTTTCAATACGTTCTTCTTCTAATTGTCGACGTATTTCATTTATATATGATTGAAGTTGTTTAAGTTTATTATTTTGTGCTGATAATAAACGTTTTTCAATTTCATTTTTATTATCTTTTGGATAACGTTTTGTTATACCTTTTCGTTGTTTTGATGGACGAATATAAGGTAAAAATTTTTCTTTTCGTCGTATATTATCATGTTTTAATGTATATAAAGTTTTTAATTTTGTTTCATTTGTACGATGTATTATTTCAGATGAATGTTTTTTTTGTGATGATAATAAAATATAATTTTTTTTATTATCTATATTTATATCAATATTTTCATGTTCTTTATTATCATCAAAATCTATCAATAAGAATAAACAAAAATTGATAATAGAAAAAAAAATAAAAATATTAAGTTTATATTGAACCTGATTCATAAATTTTTGATTGAGGTGAATCAATAGATT